CTCCATTATCATCATGGTGGGACACAGTGGTGTGCAGCCAGGCATGGTGTTGGAGAAGAATCCGAGAGTCCTACATTTCGCAGACAATAGGAGAAGGCTTGAGCATGTTTGGGGCCTCAAAGCCCGTCTCCACAGTGTCATGCTTCCTCTCATAAAGCTACTCCAACAAGGCCACACCTCCTAACAGTGCCACTCCCTTTGGGGGGCATTTTTCTTTCAAACTAAGACAGGTTTCTCTACTCTACAGCCTCCGTGGACACTTCTGCATTCTTTCTGTAGACTGGTTCCAGAGGCCTCTGAGTCACTGGTTAGCTGTACCACACACCAGTTCCTTACCCGTTTTCTGTATTGGTTACTCATCTCATTAGTCTGACCAAAATGTTGGTCACAATCAACTTGAGGGGGAAGGAATTCATGTCACAGAGAGTCTGAGGTTTGTGGGCACAGTCATCGTGGTGATAAGGCAGCAGCGAGAGCAGCCCTGTGACAGGAGGAGAAGGGTGCATCAGGAAGCAGAGAAAGGGGAATGTGGATGCCTAGCCGCGGGTTTTAAAGCCTGCCGGTATAGTATCCAGCTCACAGCTTAGGCAGTGCTATGTAAGTGTCACATGACCCACTCACATGCAATGCATGTTCGTGGAGGAATAGCAGAAGTGGGAGCCAATCCAGGAGAGTGGTGGAAAACCTACTGTCATTATTTAAAGCAAGAATCAAACATATTGGAGCAGGCTGGCCTGCTTATGCAAGCCTCTAGCAACAGCTGCTTGGGAGACTGAGGTTGAAAGCGCAAGGCCGGGCTGGATAACCCAGGGAGACCCTGTTTCAAAGTAAAAATGATTGCAGATACATATGTGGAGTATATGTACTCCCATCGGTGGAGTTTGCGCCTCAGGTTCCAGATTCAATCCCTGGTGCCTTAAAAAAAAAACCAGTGACTAAATAGTGAAGAGGAAAACCTAATAGAGCTCCCCGAGAGAACTGAAGGGTGGAAGGAATGACGAGGAAACAAGAGAGCATGATGGTACTGTTCTATGCTGATGGAAATCCAAGGTGGAGGGAGCAGAAGAGAGTGGAATTTTCTCCCTGCTGAGTGGAGAGTGACTTTGTAGCATTTAACACCCCCTTGTCTTTCTCTGTCATTTGGATGACAATATCTGACCTTAACAGAAGGATCAAGGAAAGATGAAAGTTTCATGAGTCTCTATGGACATGGTAGTTAAAATCAAATATAGACAGGTGGGCTGATGGCTGGGTATCTTTCTTAGGAGACGATTTTATGCTTTAGGGGCGTGTGTGTGTGTGTGTGTGTGTGTGTGTGCTGAGGATGAGTCTTGAGAGAAAAGGAGATTATATTGGTTGCTTTCAATGAGAGGGAGAGGATAAGAACTTTTGAAAAAACTCACGCCTCATAATTCTTACATTCTGAGGGACGTAGGGAAGCCATCACCCTCTCCTGTCTACAATGGATAGGGATTGTTTAGGGCATCTAAGAAGATCAGCAAATTGCTGAAAACATCATCAGGGAATGGGAGCTGATAAATTAGGGAGGAGGCAGCTACTTTCAAAACCCATCTTTAGTGGTACAAAATTTGTCTGCTTATCTCCTCCTACATCTTTACTGCTTGGACATAGGAGTAGCAAAGACTGTCTATAGGAGGACCTGGGTTCAATTCTCAGTACCTAGGAGCAGCTTATGACCCTCAGTAGCTCTAGTTCCCGGGGACCCAATACCCTCCATGGGCACCGAACACACATGTGGTACACAGATGTACCTGCAATCAAAACACACACACACACACACACACACACACACACACACACACACATCAAAGTGGCTCTGTAGATTTTGTTTTATTATATGGTAATTTACAGTAGTTGCAAGACTCCTTATTGGTAATAGTAACTAAGTCAGATGACTTAGTAACTGAGTGTTAAAGATGCTCTATAACGATACTCGAGGCTATATAGGGAAAACAATATATTTATTTATCAGTGAGAGAGAGAGAGAGAGAGTCGCACAGACCAAGAGTTAGAAGCATGGCTGGCTTCCAGGAGAAAAGGAAAGCCCCTTTTCCTTTCACTTCCTTTTATCTCTACCTTGACCCTGCCCTGTTGGCGGATAGCTTTGTGGGGTTCACTCCTACAATGCTCAAAGTACTAATGTGGAGAAAAAGACCCTCCTACATGATAGGTCTTGAAGTGACATTCTTCTCTCAGCTATTCAGCCCCTTGGTCACTTAACACTCAATAATTCTCTGTTGGATGTGCTTAGACATGTCCTGTGCACCCACCCCCAGATTGGGCCTTGGACCCACCACAGTCTTTCTACCCCAGCCTCGACAGAGCGCCACAAGCCGCACTGGGCTTCATGGCTCAGTTTCTGTTTCTAGGTTTTTCTCCCACCAGCTTTTGTCCGTGATGCCTCTCTGAGAATTTGGCTTGAAATTCTTCCTATTATAGTAAACTGTAGCCAAACAGTAAAAGTCGGACTACTCTTTCTAGAAAATTCTCGTCCTACTGGAAGCTTTGGTTGCCGTGCTGGGCTTCAGTGTACCATGGAAAGAAAAGAATGGTGCCACTCGGTTCTGTAGACAAGTCCTGGCTGATAGCATTCCCGTATGTTTTCAGTTAAGCCCTTCAGCACCAGCGGGTATGGGATACCGCTCCTAAGAGGAAACTTCAACACAGACTTGGGTAGATGACTGAAGTTCCTTATAGCTTGCAAGCTGGAGATTCAAGCCCTGTTGATCTGGTATTCTCCAGGAAGCCTGTACCTTTGCTGACCAGCCTGTGAGGGACTGTGAGGAATAAAGGCTAGCAGGCCGCAAGAGAATGCCTAGGCACGGTGGAAGCCTAGCACTGAAACAGGAGAAACTTGCTTTTGTGCATGACTAAGCCTAGCACCCCCAATAATTACTTGTTTCTGAAAGCTTAAAGTTTGGTCTCACGACCCCTCACAGTCTCCCAACAGTTCCTTTTTGTCAAATGGAACCTGAAGTTCTTGGTTCACATTTACAATCTGAGCATGGAGACGCCAAGCCTTTATGTGCCAGCTGCAGACATCTGCCTTGGAGCTGGGTGAAGACTGCTTTATTCTCAAACAACTGCATCTGACCAAAAAGAGTATGACCGGTAGGATGTAGCAGGTCATAGATAGCCGAGCAGTTGAGACGTTCTCCATTCTCCCTGAAAGCCACCATGGTAGAAATCTGTAATTCCCTTATAAAAAGCTGTTGGGTTAGGCCCTGGGCCTTCAGAATGATCAGATCTTCATCAGAGTTTTTGGGGGCCTCCAATGTGTCATCTGGTTAAAAAATGGTCCATGTGGTCCGTGGCTATTCTGTATCTTGGGGACATTTGTCAGATTATTTCTCTTGGGGTCATTTGTTAGAGTGTTTCTCTTGTGGACATTTGTTAGAGTGTTTCTCTTTTGCCAGTTACCCCCCCCCCCCATCCAGCACAGTGCTGGCTTTTACAAGAAACTTCCCTTGAATCTGACTTTCAATGCCTCAGGGCTATTTGCACGTGTTGTTATCATCAGTTAACAGATACTCAAGGAGTCCAGACATAAAAATATTAGAAATCAGTAATGTCAGTTGTTCATAGTCAGTGTTTTAAGTATCAGCAGGAGAACACTGCTTTGTGATGAATGCAAAGCCTGTTGATATGATAAGCAAATTAGGTATTGGTGTGCCTTTTATATTCTGCGTTGTTTCTTTGAAGGATGTTACTGTGTTATCTGCTGTATCATTCCTCCTCCGAAATGGACCGTGTGCCATGGCAAGAGGTGTCGAAATAGCACACCATCATGCACTGCTCGATGGTGTTGATAAACGTCCTAGGAAATGCATCAGGCAATTTTGGCCAAGTATCAGAGTGTGCTTACACAAGTCTAAATGGTGTGGATCAGTCTAGTTATGCTTCTTAATGTGATGAGGAGGACAATGTAAACACAATCTGTATGAAGTCTATGGAAAACAGTAACCTGGTTATTCATTATCATTACCAACTATTAAGATACCAAACAGAATCATGCATGATATGCTTCCATATACCTGAAAGTACAGCATATTTGTCTACACCAGCAATACCACTAACGTGAAGAATGTCTTAAGCTAAGACATCGATATAGCTGGCTGTGCCACAAGATTTTAGAAATGTTCACTTAGGTCTGGGAATGATGATGAGCCCCTTTAATCCTCAGGCTTGGGAAACAGAGGCAGGAAGATCCTGTGCTACATGTTGGTATCCTATCTAAATAAATAAATACATAATAAGAAGCAAAAAAAAAGTTAATTTCAGGGTTGGAGAGATGGCTCAGTGGTTTCAGTCACTTGCTGCTTCTCAGGTAGAGGACCAGCCAATGTGCACACAGGGCATCAGATCTTGTTTTCATGAAACTCCACCAGAAAAAGAACTGATAAAAATAAGAGTAATAAAGGGAAAGAGAAATTGTGATTAACGCGTTGTACTTAAGGAACTGTCTCACACAGTTGTGGGGTGAGCAACTCTGAAATCTGTAGGCCGCCAAACCCTTAGCCAGAGACCTTGGTTAAAGGTTGACATTTCAGTCCCATGAGCTCAACACGCTCAGGCAGAACTTACATGGCCTAGGTTCTTTCTGTTGCTGTGACCGACAGCCACTTTCAGATGAAGGGATTTGGCTGTCCACTTTATTTTCGTTAATAAAGAAGAACTTTTTAGAAGACTGTATTTCCAAGAGAACTTTTGGCAAATGCTCGTGTCTTTGGGAGCATGATGTCTTTGTAAACTACAAGCACTCAACACACACACACACACACACACACACACACACAAAGACATCTTTAAGTCTTTCTCCTGGTAAGTACTTCAGAATGTTCCATTATCTGTCTTTATGTCTTTCTCGTAACTGTGTTATATATAAGTTCTAGCAGTAACCATAAATGCTTCTGGTATTTCCAGGGACATTAAGAGACCAGACAGTTCATATTGATGATGTGACCTTCTGTTTTTGGCAGTTGACTGCTGGGATGGCCCAGATGGAGAGCCAGTGGTCCGCCATGGTTATACTCTTACTTCAAAAATTCTCTTCAGAGACGTTGTGGAGACCATTAACAAGCACGCATTCGTGAAGAATGAGTAAGTACCACAACACCTGAAGGCTAAGCTCCACCCCTAGCCTGGGAGCACGGCCCAAGTTCCTGTGGTTACAGGACGCACGCACTCTTCCTTGGGCTCCTCATCCTTCCTTCCCACTGCCCCTGGTTCTGCGTCCTCCCCCCCGCCCCAAAGACTGGGAACAAGTACCAATGGCTTCCAAGTTCATGGGTCTTGGCATGACCTACTTACTCTCTAATCCCATGCTCTCTCATCCCGTCTCCTTGAAAATACCCTTTCAGAGAACGACTTCTAAATTTCTAAACCCATAAAGCTTGGAAGCAAGGTTTAATACATGATAGTTTATAATTTTTTTCAGACTTTATTTGTGTGTGTACGAGTGTTTTGCCTGCATGTATGCCTCCGCGCCGTGTGAATGAAGTGCCTGTGTAGACCGGAAGAGGGTGCTGGATCCCCTGGGACTGGAATTACAGACGGTTCTTAACTTCCATGGGGGTGCTGGGAATTGGACTCCAGTCCTTTGGAAAAGAATCCAGGGCTCTTAACTTCTAAACCATCCCTCCAGCCCCATAGCAGTTTTCTGACCCTGCATCATAGTTTCATAACTGTGGAATGTCAGACACTTCAGGGTACCCATGACGTCCAACACAGAGAAGATTGACCGTTTCTTTGACTCCACCACTGTCTCTTAATTCTCATTTTCCCTTTTGGTCTACACTCCATACTGGTGCCGCGGTTTCTTTCTGAAACATGAGCGCTGTCGTAATTCTTGTTCTTTCTGAAGCCTCTACGGCATGTGGGACGTCCTCATGCCCTCCACATGTGGTTTCTTCCTTCTCCTCCTCCAGTATTGCCCTCTTCCATCATTGCCCCGCAGAGACCTGGCTTCTGATGGCAGTGATTGTCTGTCGCCTTTCCCAACAAGCCTAGAACGTGTTACGTTACTCTCTGCCCCAAATACCCATCCACAGTGCTCCCCACATGCTTCGCTTTTTATATAATAAAATTATTGAAGCAACCCCCCCACTGGAAAGCATATCTTGACCCCACAGATGACTTACTTACTCTTTCTTGATGCTTAGCTATCTGAAAATGTGTCTGTCATATTGAATAACGCCCTGATAAAAAGGTCAATAGCTTGCTTCCTTTTGTAGGCATGAGGTGGAAAACTCATTGACAATATGGCACCGTTTCAGCAATCATTGACTTTTTTCTGTTTAGCAGGTACCATCAAAGGGATAAACATGTGAAAAGGAAAATTTTTAAATGAAAGAAGCAAATTACAGAATGGTGATTGCACAAAATTAATATTTTAGAGGCTAGTAGCCTTTAAAATATTTAATACTTAGTCTTATTAATTAACCATGAGGTAGAAATGCTCTCTTCTAATGAGAGATTCTTCCTGCACAGCAAATTTAGTTTGTGTCATCTTTTACACGGAGGGATTTGGTGCTAAATTCAGTCTTTCAAACCCTGATTCCTATCAGCCTTGCATGTCAATATTTCCCATTATATGAACCAGTGCCACCCCCATACCTCAGGTTATCGTCTGGTACCTAGGATGCTGACTTTGTGCTTATGAACCCTTAGAAGAAATGCGCTTTAGGAACTGGAGAGATGGCTCATTGGCTAAGAGCCCTTGGTGCTCCTGCTGAGGACCTGGGTTTGGTCCTCTCACTTATTTGACTCACAACTTTAATTCCAGGTCCAATGGCATCTGACACCCTCTTCTGGCCTTTGTGGGCAACTGGGATACACATACTTTCCGACAAAGCACTCGTACACATAAATAAATAGAATATAAATCTTTAAAGCAGAAAACAGTTTAGGTAGACTGACTTCCATTTTCCTGAGGAATCCCTATACTGATCTCCAAAGTGACTGCACAAGTTGGTACTCCCACCAGCAATGGATAAGTGTTCCCCTTTCTCCTCATCCTCTCCAGCATAGACTGTCATTAGTGTTTTTGATTTTAACCATTCTGACAGGAGTAAGATAGTATCTCAGAGTTGTTTTAATTTGCCTTTCCCTGATGGCTAAGGATGTTGAGCACTTTCTCAAGTGTCTCTCAGCCATTTTAGACTCCTATGTTGAGAATTCTCTATTTAGTTCTGTACCCCACTTTTTAATTGGATCCTTTGGTGTTTTGGAGACTTACTTCTTGAGTTCATTGTATATTTTGGAGATGAGCCCCCTGTCAGATGTGGGATTAGTGAATATCTTTTCCCATTCTGTGGACTGTCGTTTCGTCTTGTTGACTGTGTCCTTTGCCTTACAGAATCTTCTCAGTGTCAGGAGGTCCCATGTATTAATTGTTGACTTCAGTGTCTGTGCTACTGGTGCTATGTTCAGGAAGCTGTCTCCTGTACCAATTTGTTCAAGCATACCTCCCACTTTCTT